CCGCCCCCCTCCCCCCCCCCCCCACGGGCTGCCTAGGTTTCTACATTGACCTCCAGGATGAGGCAGGGGCTGTGACCCTGTGACCAGAGGAAAGGGGGAGGGTATGGCCCTCTGCCCCCACCAGGCTGAGGGCATCTCTGTCTGGCATCTGCTGAGCTTGGCTGCTGGGGCCAGATTCTCCCTCCTCTGGACACAGCAGGGACCCCCACCTCCCTGCCCTACTGTCTGCCCCCGTCCAGACCCCGGGGAGGGCCCGAGCTATTCTGGGCCCCTGATCTGGGCACCGCATCGCCCTGCTTGAGCTCTGGGCCAGGCTGTCTCCCCGGTGCCAGCCTGCCGGGCAGGGATGAGGGGAAGATGGCGCCGTCCCTGCTCGAGGAGGGGAGTGGGAAGCACTGACCATCTCTCCACCGTGGCAGCTCTGCGGGGTGGGGGGTGGGGGCTGGGATCGGGTGGCTGCGGTGTCCCAGCCCAAGGCCGTGGGTTGGGAGAAAGCACCGGGGACAGGGCACTGGAGAGCGGGGCAGGGTGACTCATCACCAGGCTCCTGACTGGTCACGGGGCTCACCCAGGCTGGTGTTCCTCGGTGTCTCCGGATGGGGTTAACCTCTCTCATGGTGGGGGGGCTCTGTAGGCACAGCACTCAGACATTTACGGCTACTGGACTGTTTGGGCTTTTGCCCCCGGGCTCTGCTCAGCTAAACACGGAGACCTGGCTCCGGCCCTGGGGGCCCGGACTGTGCTCAGGCTGTGCTCCCAACCTGTCCAGGGCAGGGCTTTGCTGGGCTTCTCTCTGAGGCCCCCCATCACCTTTGCTCCCCGCCTCGGCCCACAGAGTCACTGCTCAGCGCGCCCCTCGCCCTGAGCCAGAACACCCCAGGTTGCGGCCGCCCCTCCCCACACCCCGGGCAGGATGGGTAAAGAGAAGACCCACATCAACATCGTGGTCATCGGCCACGTGGACTCGGGCAAGTCCACCACGACCGGCCACCTCATCTACAAATGCGGGGGCATCGACAAGAGGACCATCGAGAAGTTTGAAAAGGAGGCGGCCGAGGTGAGCCCTGGGGGGGCTCCCACCTTTGCCTCCACCACGAGGTTGGGTTCTCACATGGCAGCCGGGCTGATGCTTCCCCGACCCTGGGGCACGTAGCTCAGATGAACTCCTCTGGGGCAAGAGGGGCGCGAGCCCCAAGGACCCCATGTGGGAGATGTGTATGTCACAGCATCCAGATGGGAAAGGCATGGGGGCAGCTGGGGGAGCCTCTCTCTGAGGAGGTGCCTGGTCGGGGCGAGGTGGGATGACCTGCTGGACCAGCCCCAGGCGGGGGAGGGGCTGGAGGTGCATTTCTCCCAGTATAGGTCACTGTCTCTGAGCCCCCAGGGCTGGGTTCCGGTGTTCGTCCCGGGGCTGAGGTCTGGGGCTGGAAGTGGCGCTGTCCTCGCTTGTCCCAGGGCTGGGCCAGGACTCAGAGCAGCTATTAATAGCTGATTGATGGGCACCCAGCCCATCAGCTCCATTTTCTCCTGCCGGTCCGGGGCAGGCTGCTTGTCCAGGGTGGCACCCTTTTTTGGGGGGAGTCTTTGTCACCTGGCGAGGATGAGAGGGACCCTGGTGGCTGACCCCCCATTTCTCGAAGCTGATCCTCTCAAGCGCCTGAGACCCATGGGTGGGAAGTCTCCATGGAGTGGGGTCTGCTCTCTGTGCCTGCTACCTCCACCCCTGAGCTCTGGGAGAAGCTCCTGTTGGGAGCTGTGAGGGGTCTCACCTGGATGGCCGGTGCCAGGGCTCAGGAGGGGGCGGCTGCTGGCCTGGGCTGAACCCTGCTCATGGGGCTGTGGGGATGCTCCTGGGCCCCAAAGCTGTGTTTCTTCTTTCCTGCGGGGCTGGTGTTGAGGGGGGCTGAGGGTGCTCGCAGGGTGTCTGGTTCGGGTCTAGCTGGGCCCTGGCTGGGCAGCCTCCCTGGAGGGCAGAGCCCTGTCCGTGCATGGCCCTGGCAGGGAGCTTTGACCAGCTGGGCAGTGACCACAGCTGCCACCCTGACCGCAGCCCTGACCCTGGGCATGGGGGTCTCACTGGGCACTTGGCACAGGTGTTGGGAGAGGGCAGCCCGGCCTTGCTTTCCCTGGTCAGGTGGGGCGGGGAGTGGAGGAGGAGCCTCAGAGCCACTGGGGAGCTTTAGCGGCTGTAGAAAGAACTGGAAAGCCAGGCCCTTCCTTACCACCTCATCTGATTTCTTTCTTTCTTTTTCCCTAAAAAAAAGAAAAAGAAAAAATCACAGAGGGGCTTTTTGGTTGGACAGCCTGAAGCCCAGTGGGGTCATCAGCTGACACAGGGATCTGGGGGGTGCGGTGGGGGGGACCCTGGCTTCAGATAAAGGGGAGCCCTCAGCCAGGGGAGGGCTTGAAACCAGGGCGGCTCTCGGGCTGCTCCCAGGCCCTTGCGCCCCCTGCTGGTGGCGCCCGTTTAGGCGGCAGGAGGCCAGCCGGGCAGGGCCGGGATGAGGTCCTGGCGTCCTCGGTTCCGGTGGTGGGTCCAGAGCCCCAGGGTTCCAGCAGTAGCGAGGGGTCTCTCTGCCGTGACGTGCTGCTCCCGCACCCCAGGGGACCCGTGGCCAGGCCAGCCGAGTCCCGGTCTCGTCCTGAACCACGTCCCCACCCCTCCAGATGGGGAAGGGCTCCTTCAAGTACGCCTGGGTGCTGGACAAGCTGAAAGCCGAGCGGGAGCGCGGCATCACCATCGACATCTCCCTCTGGAAATTCGAGACCACCAAGTACTATATCACCATCATCGACGCCCCGGGCCACCGCGACTTCATCAAGAACATGATCACAGGCACATCCCAGGTGGGCGGGGCCTCGGGGCCGGT